GGCGGTGGGTAACGAGCTAAGAAGGTAAGTCGCTAGGTGCTACATGGTCCCAATTTTTGCGGTGGTTGGGGCAGAAATCACACGCTAGCCTCTAGGCGCTACAAGGAAAATCGACTAGCGTCTTAGAGACTAGCGTCCGGTCCGAGCTTCTTCTTAAAAGGGTAGACCCAAGACCCTTATTCTTGACGTGGTGCGCGACATGGGCGCTCACTCACTATCGTGGGAGGGAAGGGGCTCGCCGAGCAGCGCTGGTAGGGGACGGAGGGGGCGAGGGAGGGAGGTAGAGGGTCTTGGTCTAGGCGTGAGTGTGTGACTCTACATACACTCCGCTGCATTTACAAGTCAACGCGCACGGGTCGCACCGGGGCCGGGGCCGACGGTGCAGGCGTTGGGCGTGGGCCTCCAGCTAGGCGCCGCGGCCGCGCGCAGGCAGGTCGCCCGCTGTCGAGCCTGCTGTGCTCGCGCTTCCCCTCCGTCGTCGCCTCCTCCGGGTGGTCCGCCGCGCGTGACAGTCGGCCGGGTGGGAGTCCCCCGCCGCGCCCCGCCGCGCCCCGGGTTTGGGCCGCCGCCAAGGCCGCGTCTAGCGCCAACAAGACGGTCAGGGACAAGGCGCGCGACGAGGCGCGCTGCACTTTAGGAGAGTGGGCCAGGTGTAGGGGGGAGGGGGCGTCCTTGGGGGCTGGCTGCTGCTCCTCACGTGATACGACGCAGTGCTGACCTGCGTGCTCCCCGCTTACCCCCCCCCCCCCCAAACCACCACCACAACCAGGCCACGCCCAAATGGCTAGCTTCACCCAGCCCGCTCTGTCCGTCACCACCGTGTGCACTGCCAAGGTTGTGGAAGGCACAAAAAAAAAAAGTGTGACGTAGTGACGTCGTGTCGCTAGGGGCCCGCGCCCCGCGCCTGAGTATCTAAATCACCCGGATCAATACAAACGACAATTGCCCTACGCTGGCCGGTGGAGTGTGAGCCGCGGTCGACTTGCCTGTGCTGGCCGGCGGGCAAGAGGGCTCGGAGGGCGGTGAGGGACGGAACAGGACGCCGCGCCGCTGCCGCTTCTGGTAGGCGCACACCGTGGGAATGAGGGAAGGATCGAAGGAGCCCCGCGACTTGGGCCTGACGTTGGCGTCCAGTGCGAACTGGACTTTGCTGGCGCGCTTCGGCTCCAAGAGTAGGGCGACTCCACCCTCCACACCGTTTAGCGCCGCAATGCATTCCTCGTCACCACACTGAAGCCCTCCTCCTCTTATTCCACCAGGATGCCGGCGGCGACGGGCCACGGCGCGGCCAGCACCATGCCGCGCGAGGCGCACCGCCCGTACCGCTTCGGCATGACGCTGCTGTGCTTCGGCGGGCTGCTCAACTGGGTTGGCCTGTTCGAGAACTACACGGAGCCGGTGCGCTACATCGGCGTCACGTGCGTCGTGTCGGGCGCCATCCTGCTCTGCTTCGCCATCTGCTGCTGGCTGCGGCCCGGCGCGCACCGCGAGAACGCCTGGGGACAGGCGCACCAGCACGCCAACCCCGCCCTGGTGAGTCCCCGCCGTCGGTCCCCGGGGCCCGCAGTTTACACGTCATGCTTGAGACTGTTGAGACCGGGTTATCCAAAAGGAAGAGTTCTACCCACGCCGAAACATTTACGATGGCACTCACTCCCAAAAAACAAAACGCCAATTAATAGAAAGTGAAAGAAGGAGTCAGCCACCCTTGAAGTGATTGATACGCCTCCCTCCTACTCTCTCTCTCTCTCTCTCTCTCTCTCTCTCTCTCTCTCTCTCTCTCTCTTTTCCGGGCTCAGCGCCGCCTAACCTTCCCTTCTCTCTCTGCAGCAGGCCGGCCGGGACCCCGTCCACTTCATCACGCTGGACCGGACGTCCTCCGCGGTGGCCGCGCAGAAGCCGCCGGACTACGAGTCGGTGACGGACAAGCCGCCGTCCTACGACGACGCCATCAAGCTGTCGCCCGCGCTGCTCTGGCTCGCCAACGAGCACGAGCGGCACGAGGGCGAGCTGCTCGAGCAGCACGCCGAGCAAGGTGGGTGAGCGTACAGAGCAGCGCCAGGGCGGGCGCCGGGAGCGTAGGCAGCCGGCGCGCTCGCGTGCCCGGCGGGCCGGCCTACCCGCGCCCCCGCGCTCGCGCATGATTGCCTCTACTCGCCTCTACTCGCCTCCACACGGCACGCGCGTCACATGTCGGTGTTACATTACCTCGCGAAGCTCCCGCCTGCTTCTCAACTCGATTTGTCGGCGGAACTTATTACTCCGTCGGGTCATTATCGCGAGCCCGTCCGCCATCCGCAACACAGTAGCGGCGCCGCCCGGGTGCCGGGCCGGCCGGAGCGGAGGCGAGAATGGGCCGGACCTGCACAGCTGCACCGCCACCTGCGCCTGGGAAGCGGCCGGTCCCGGTTCCGGGAGGATCACGACCTGAATCCGCTGCTCGGCGCCGTGCGGGCCGGGCCGGGACACGGCAGAGGAACACCGTTTCGTTGCACTAACCACTGGCCGTGCCATTCCACAGGTGCCGCGGGCCGGGCCAAGGACGACGCCGAGGAGATGACCGTGTCCGAGGTGGACGACGCCGGGTCGCCGTTGCCGCCGGGGCGGCAGCCCTGCCCGCCGTACACGGCGGTCCGGGACGACCGCTCGGACTCGCCCAGGACGTCGACGGCGCCGTCGACATCGGCGTCGACGTCTTCCTCCCTGTCGACGGCCTCGGCCTCGTCACTGCCCCCGGGCACCTGCGAGGAGGCGCCGTCCACGTCGTCGTCGCAAAGCCTGAGCGTCGTGGTGTACAGCACGGCCTCGGCGTCGTGCTTGTCGAAAGACCCGAGTGCGGCGTAGCCCATCCTCCTGACTGAGGCCCAGGCGCCCTCGAATCGTATCAGACATTTATTCAGACCGGAAGGTCGACCCTTTGCCAGAGGGTGCCGCCTGGACCAGAACGACGGCGGTAGAGGGCATTTGAAAGAGCGGCTCGACGGCGCAAACGAAGAGTGCTTGCAGCGGACTGTACGTGTCGGCCGGTGCGAACGTACTCAAAAACTAATTAGCGCTCTTAACTTCGCCCCTCGTCGTGATCACGTCACTCCCGCTCCTTCACCCCCTGCAAGCTGCGCCCCGACCAACCCGATAACAACCGTGGTAAACTGTTCAAACAAAGTACCGAGTAGGCCTTACTATGTTGACTCGTAAAGCATATCAAAGTTCCTATGGACATAAGTGGAGTGCCATCAGGGATAAGTGAATAATATTAGGTCAGTGTCATGTGTCGTAGACAAGTAACGCTAAAGTACAGCGAAAAAACTATGAATAATATTCTACTTTGTGCGATTGTTGGCGCAATGCGTTCGTTAAAATTTGAGATTCTAGAATGACAGCCTCGCACAACTGAGCATTTTTTCCGCACTGCGCTTTATTCTTTTCATTTTGCATCAATTGTCCAAGTAACATGAGACGATAAACAGGCTGACGAGAACTTTGACGTTAGTATGACCTAGGGTAGATATCAGTGATTACATTGACGTAAATCGTTGACTTTATCATGTTACGCAGGCTATGCAGAGAATCGACAAATCATAAGCCCAGTGGGCGACGGTGATCGAAACGATGGGTATCGTTGCGTCATCCCGTTACCAACTAAGGCTCTTCTGTTCGTGAAAGCAAACGTTAAAGCTGTTCAAATTGTGGGAAAATACTAGTCATTGTGTTGCAAGAGAAGTGACTGATAGTGATAAAATGGATGAGTGTGGTACCCGCTAGTTTTACGTATTACTTGGCTACGCGAGGCATTTGGTCGCGTCGAATGGGTTGCCTACCCGCCGGGCGGTTGCTCGAACATACGCCTGAGGAGGCATTAAGTCCAAGTTTTAGTAGGTTTAAGTGCATTCTCGTGGCTTTTTAGATTCCAGTTTTTACAAGCTTTGAATTTGTAGTCAGAAATATTCAGCAACATGGAAATTGGGAAAATTGTTCACTGCACACACGGTTCTCGGTATCCCACTGCCCGGGGAGGCTGAATTCTAGCTGATCTCTTTTCCCCTTTTCTTGTCAACAAAATACTCATTCAAATTGTACAACTAGAAAATAATTTTAACTTTATCATTGTCATAAAATGAAACATTCCTTTTTGTTAAATCGTGTACCTCCTCTGCAATACAAAATATAACTTGAATGGTTCCAATGCTCATGAGGATGTACAAAACCCTGTGCTGTGACTTGAGTTTTGTATGTATACTCGACACATTGTTGTTTTATTTTTGTAATAAATTAATTGTTTTTTTGTAAAACAATTTGTACCATTATCTTCCCCATTCCAACCTTCAGCTAATTTAAAAGAGAAAGAAAATTCATTCAAAGAATACACTGCATACTTTGTTTAATCTCCATGGCTCCAGTAAGAAAATGAACAAAGGTAGTGATTTAAGAATCAGCCATGCTCCAGTCATTACTGAAACACATTCTATTTACAAATAACAATATCCTTAGAAAAATACCCAATTGACATAAAATTAGATCACTTTATGTAAAGGTAGATAAAATATCTAATTTTTAAATTCATTTTTAACAGCAGCTTGAGTTTGAGACTATACATAAATTCATTATTAACAGCAGCTTGAGTTTGAGACTATACATCAGCCTTTAGGTTGCACAAGTATTGAACATCCTATACAAAGCACTCTAAATTTATGGAACAAGACATGCCAAACTACACACAATGAATCTTGAGCACCTAAATGTGTATGAGCTCATCTCACATTCAAAGAGATACTGGTGGCATTTTATTTTAAACTTCTGCATTACTCAGTCGAAAATCCACACCAACAGTTTAAAAAAAATACATAAAAGTGTCTTAAACATAGGAAAGAATAAACAAAGTATGAAAACATGCATAAAATATGACATGAATGTAACAAATACATTAAAACAAGTTTGACAAGAAATACACATTAAAGCACCACAAAATTAGTTCATAAAGCTGCTGTCAAAAGCCTATTAAACCCAGAAACAATGCTCCTCATCATATTCGGTCGTATTAGCATAAAAATTTTTATGGTAAGTGAATTTTTATGTAGATATCAGGAATGTCTTTCTATGATGCTGCAATAGCAACTTTTTCCTTTGGTTGTTTGTTTCTCTCCTTCTTCGCAGCTGTAAAGCGATAAACTATTCATGTAAGACCAGTAAATAAATGCTGTAATGTGAACTATAGAAAATAGTTATTTTACTTGTCATACCTGTGCTCTCTTGTGGCTCTTCAGAAGGAACATCAGGTAATTCTTCCATTTCTTCATCAGGTAATTCATCCATTTCTTCATCAGGAACAGCTGGAGACGGCTCAGTTTCTTTCTTTTGCTCCTTAATAATGTCATCCAGTTCAGCCAAGACATCTTCTTCATCTTGATCACTCAGAACACCACTCAGCATTTCATCTATCTCCTGCTCAGAAAAGAAAAGTTTATTACAAGTTGTAGGAATTCTGAGGGTATGGAAAAGCACCAACAGGAAAAAAAAAATGATAACTTACTTGTTGTTTTTCAACACCTTCTCTAGTTTCATCCATGATGCGTTCTATTTCATCAATACTAAACACGGCATTAGCTTTTTTCAATGCCTCACTTCCAACTTTGAGACCATTTATCACCTGCAAAGGAACACAAAATTAGATTAATTAATATATTACTGGCTATCACTGGCATAAAACATTTTACAATCATGAAAGTTGAACATCAAAATACAAACCTGAGCTTCAATACCAGCGAATTCAAGGTCCTGGGTTAGTTTTTCTAGATTTTCCAATTGGTTGTCCGTAGTTGATAGCAGCTGTTCCTGATATTTCTTTTTGCGAAGAATGAGTCTAGCTCGGCTGTAAAAGATATGATGATTGTAAGAACGTGAACAATCCATGTAACAGGTTTTATTATTTCGACTGGGAAGAATTTTAAGGTCATTTAGCTTAAGACATGACAGACTTACTCTTTCTTCCCATCTCGCAAAAGTTTTCGTGCTAGCTCAGTGTCTTTTTCTAGAGTTCCTTGAATGCGTTTCTGATAGACTTTTAGTTTATCACGTTGCTGCTTCAGTTGCTGCAAAATTAGCAATAAATATAAATGTTCGTCTGATAAGGTATGTCTAATTTGACTTTAAAAATATTATCTGATGTAATACCAGTTGCGATTGAATGCAGTGAGACATTTTCTACAATTAAATGGATTATAAGATCATGGGAGAGGAATATGTGAAAAGAACTGTTGACAATTATTTTTTTTTCAAAACCCTCCCGTAAGAGTAATGTACAACAAATTCAGCTAGAAGTCGGTGTAGAAAAGGTTACAAATAAAAGTAGGATTGGCCTTACCAGAATGGCTCTGTCGTGATCTGTCACCCGGCTTTTGGGCTTCTGCTTTCCAAAGAGTGCCCCCATGACAAGAGCTCACATGCACCACCTACACGTGACAAGAGTTGAGTGTTGCTCTCAAAATACAGTAAAATTTGATTGAAATTTTAGAAATTCAAGGGACGAGCAGATAATGACAAACCAGCAAAACAAAGATGTAAACACAGCGCCTTCCAAAATAACGTTTTGATTGAGCAAGTTTGAGAAGATGGACATGATCATGTTCGCCAACGTTACCGCCCTACGGTAGTTTAAAACTAACAACAATTACAAGACTCGGAAAGGTTTAAAACCGAAATAAATCACATCTCATGAAATTTATCTGAAGTAATCAAGGAAAAGAAAGTTTCCTGTTTAAAAAGCACGGCAAACTTGTCTTTTCATTATTTTATTTCTGTCTGTCACGTTTCAGAAAAAAGGAGTGTTTCTTAATGACCAGCAGACGAAGATGCTGTCAAGATGATATTTGTACGTGATAAAGAGTATATTTTTCCTAGAATTTTAAGCAAAATTCAGAAAGATGCGCCGTAATTTTCAGATTTTATTATTCTATTGAGGAAAACTAACAATATTTTATTACAATCCCATCTGTTTAACCGTGTTGCAATACTATAACCTCTCCGGTTGTTGCTTTACCATTTTGTTGTCACCTTTGTATTGCAATGATATACCGAATGTTGCAGGTGTCAGGGACCAGGATACGTTTAGGGCTCTCTCAGTTTACCTTAGTAGTTTTGCTATTGCCCTTTACATGTAACGCTGTTGGAAATCGAGATGCATTACAGCAGCAATCATCTCGCTGTGGGTTACATGCAACTATTGTTCGCCAAGTTGAACGGGAAGGATTTCATAGGTATGTATACCCTCATGAACTGTAGGCCTCTTCCACAATGCAATTTGACTTGTGATTTGGGTATTGATCTAATTGTAAATGCTTTACTGAATCTCAAATTCACAGAGACCTCGGATCTCTTGTTGAGCTTGTAGCACAGAACCCATTAGAGTGGCAGAATTGCACAATAGCTCTTCAAGAGACAATTCCAAGTGGGCTTTATGTAAACCAAGATCAGTTGATGGATCTGGAACGACAAGGCACAGTATGTAATCAACTACTTGCGGCTCGTGAGTGGTGATTTCGTCACAAGGTGTCATTATACATATTCTTGACTTTACAGTTAACAGCATGTCCCGAGACCTTTGTAGATGTTGAAGCTGCACAATGGCAATCTGAGTCGTTTGGTGTCTTGGTTTACTCATCCTTGGAAACTGCGCACAACCTTCTTTATGCTCATATTCGTATGCCCATTCATCTACGATATCATGCTCCTACTGATAATGGAGGATATGCTGGAGTCTACATTCCGCCACCAAAGCTATTAATACGGTGTAGCAATGAAATTACTTGTGGGAATAAAGAAAACTATTTTACTGGCTCTTGTGATGGCTGCACAGGAAGCCACTGCTCATGGCTGCAAATTCCATTTGGCACAGTAAGTTTATTTAATTTTGAACATTATCCCCCCCCACTTCTCTAAATACAATCTGATTTAATTGTAACATTTTTACAGAACACTCCAAAAGAAGGACTAAGAGTTATGGTGCCGGTTGGAAACAAGTCCCTTCTACCAATTGTTAATGCTTTTACATTTCTTGTTACTGGTGGCGGGTGTCTGTATATATTATCCATTCTTGTGAGCACATGGAAATGATGATCTCATAGGATGTGCATTTCAATTGAGCTGATCTCATGTGAATAACAGAACAAAAGTTCAAATCTGCTCAATGTGTGTAGCTTGGTAGACTGATACATTGTCATGTAAATCATAGTAGTAATAAGTTAGGTATCTTAGAAAATTTGACTGAATCACTCTGCTTTTGCAGTAAAATTAATGCTGAAGGTGTAGAGCTCAATTACAGATACAAAAAACACCCCTTGTTTCATATCTCCAAACCTGTAACTATGCTCTAAATTTGGTGACAAAAATAATATCTGTTAGTTTCTAAAACTATCTTTTGGTTTAGCTGGCCCTGCCGTGCTGTTATTGTTTGGTATATACATCACAGTCATCTCTAGTCTCTAAGATAGGGAATGGGGATCTGGCTGCCAACCTTGAGGCTCTATGAATTAGTAATCACATTCTTGAATGTATGCGAGGGGTGGTAATATTTTTTTATTGCATAATTTTTCTTTAAATTGGGAACCATTTGCATTCTGTATTCAATTATAGTGTTTAACACACTGCCAAAAATTTTTAAATTTGAACATTTCTAACATTTACATGGCAGCAATGCGCAGCAATGAAAAGTTTGCTATGTTTTGTACTCTGGTCATATTTTTTTCACTGACCTTTAAACTCAGCAACATTTAAATTTGTGACAAACTGTACAGTTAAACTAAACCATGGATAATCTTGCATTGTAAATTCTAGAAATTGTGATTTATTTTAATAGCAAATATTTGTGCTATATTGTAAAAGAAGCTGAAGATTATCTTTAAAAATGTAACACATTCCTCATGCTCATGTATCTAAATTAACTGATTACCCTGGGTAATGGATTGGCCCTGAATGTTCAAGAACGCTCATTGTTCATTTAATTTCTTCCAATTATTTAACAATGGCTTTGCTTCTGTGTGATTAAATTATTAGGAATTTAGGTGTAGATCCATCTAGAACTGGAAATTAATTTGGCAGGATTTGTCACATCTCGTAAAAAGAAAACCGAGTCTAGACATTTCTCTAAAGTATAAACTTATACCTGTGATTGAACTGATTTTTGTTTTTATTGTTGTTTTTAAATATAAGTATCCAAAGATGGTTGAAAATAATCACTTCATTTCCTTCCCTGGTTGTCACATAAGGCACATGTGTTAAATTGAAACATGTTGAAATATTTCCATGTCATGATAGATCTAAGATACGAGCACTACTGAACAGCCACTCCCGTGTGTGATCGTTGCACCAGCGTCTTCCCAGACGATTCAGCTGCAGGAGCCGATGCCAAAGCTGCCGAGAAAGGGGAAATCCAAAGTCTTTTGAACGTGCGCGCAATGCAAACTATTCCATTGGCCTTCCGCCCCGGCGGTTTCAGGCCAACTGAAGAACGGCCGCCTGGGCTTGGGGGAAGGACACCACCAACCATCAGAGCGCGCCCGTCCGGTGACGAGACGCTGGGTGGTCCGGGTATCCCGTAGGGAGGAAGCTTCGTTTCCGTACGAAAAAGAAGAGACCGATACAATATATATATGTATGCGAGTGGCCTTCGGCAGAGCCGTCGACAGCCGTTCGACGCAGAAAGCAAATCGCGAGGCGATTGGCGGGCTCAGGCTCGCGTCAGGCGTCAGGCCGGGGCTGGCAATGCTTCCTGGGCCCCCAGAGGTAATGTTTCGATCCATAATAGGCGCACCGGGTGATACAGCGGAACGAGACGGACGCTGACCGGCGGCCGGGGCCGGGGCCCAGGGGCCTCCTCCTCGCGCAGCTCCCAGCGCAGAGCTCCCAGCGGAGCCAGACGACTCCCCGGACTCCTCTATCCTTCGATACGGCAATGGCAGAGCGGGCTAATTTATCTTGGGCGCCACTGACGTGCCGACGCGCGCGGCCCGGTAACGACCTGTGTCCTGCTCATGTCGAGCTTGTCCGCGGCGGGGCGCGGGGCGCGGGGCGCGCGGGGTGCCAGCCCGGAAAACCAAAAGGTTACCCTTCTCTCCTCTCTGTGTACGCGCGCCGCGCCGCGCCGGGGCCGTCGGGGCCGGGCGTGCGGCTGTGCCAGGATCACCATCATCGCCTTACATGCCGCCGTCGTTCTTCGTCTCCCCCGCGAGCGGCGGAGGGCTGCGTCCGAGCGAGTTCCGCACACCACACCACACCGCGCGGCAGTGTGTACCTCCCGACGCGGCCCGCGGCGCGGCGCGGCAGGGCAGGGCAGGGCAGGGCAGGGCCAAGGTGAAGAGGGCCGAGAGAATGAATGGGGCAGGCTCAATGGGCCGTCATTAGGACTTATTGCGCCTCGCGAATTGAAAAATTAAACGCGGCAGCGTGTCAGATGGGCGGACGACACCTGGCCGTGTCGGCGGGGAGGTGAGGGAGGGGGGGGGTCGCGGAAGACGAGCGCGCTGCTCCTGGAGGTGGTGATGCTCTGCGCCACAGGGGGCACGGCCGACGAGAGACGTCCCGTCAGCAATACGCCCGCCGCCTGCACATGAGACGGGTCGTGATCGGGTCGCATGGGGACAGAGAGGACCGCGCCCGGCGCGCCAGCAGCACTCCCCCCGGGCTGGGCCCCGCGGGCCGCGGGTGAGCCCTGCAGCCGCCGCCGCTGGGACAACCGCCGGCGGATACGTCTCGCTGTCGAGGTGCGGTCGGTTCATTCGGGTTCGTGTTGCGGTCGGGTCGAGGTGGCGGAAGTGTATCAACATATGGCGCGGAGCGAGTGGTGGCCGGGCGTGGCGCGGCGGGGGAGAGAGAAGTACCTTGGAGCGCGCAAAGTACCCACACCACCACCACCATACCGCCGCCATCCCGCTCATCACGTCGTCGTCGTCGTCGGCCACATCCCATTCCGTCGCGGTGATGTTCCTGTGGGTAATCTCGTCCCGGACCGACATGAGAGTGGCGGCGGTGCGGTGGGGCCGCCGCCGCCGGGGCGCCACGAGCACGGCATTGGACCGTTTCCATAAAGATAGCAACGACACACACACACAGACACAATGTCCCGGGCCGAGGCACGTACCGACGAGGCGGCACTCGCGCAAAAGCACGGCAGGGGTGCCCAAGAGAGTCTCATCGCGTCGCGAGCGTAGCCTGCTCGTACACAGTTAGTTTAGAAGGGGGGGAAATGATAATGGGAAGAGGAAGAGGATGTGTCGTCGTGGTCGCGGGATTCGAGGAGGCTCGCGTGTGCCCGGCGCAGAGTTTGCGAGGCGATAGCGAGAAGAGGCGGACTTTGGCGTAAGCGAATACCAGCAAATCGTCGATAACGCTCGATACATGGGTGTTAGGCAGTCTTACTTTCCAAGAGGACAAAAAATAATGAAAAGGAAATAAAATAAAATATAGGTTGTTGGGTCCTGTTCGTGTTATTGGCAGCAGTGTGATAATTGTTAGTGCCGTAGAGGTTATTGGCACCTTCCTCCTGCCTCTCTCTCTCTCTCTCTCTCTCTCTCACTCGCTCGCTCGCTCTCTCGTCTTCCCATTTCGCGGTCGCTGCGAATAATGAGGCTCACGTAGTTATCGCGCAATTTTCGCGCCAATAATCATGCAGGCTGTTCGGCGGTGCGGCCTGGCTGTGGCGGGGCGGGGCGGGGCGGGGCGGGGCATGGCGTGGGGTCGTCCCGTTAGAGGTGTCGCCGCGAAGACACACCGCAAGTGCACGCTGAGTAATTTCTTTGCAGACGAGACGAGGATTTAAGTCTGTCCAGCCCGGCCCGGCCGCGAGCATTCCCGCGACCACGCCAGGAGAGGGCCCCTCGGCCCTCGGCTCGGACTCACCGCCGACGGCAACCTTACGGAACCGCGCACTTGCTGGTGTAAGGAATCATTCGGACAGTACGTCCGTCATTCTCCGCCACGACACTGTCAAGTTTTGCCCATGCTATCTATCAGAGCGCCTGGTAGGTAGGCAACATCTGGCTTGCAATGCACGCGAGTACTGCGGGGTGGCCTACCCCGAGTCTCGCAGGCGCCAAGCTCCGAACTCGAGGAAAACGGACGTACTTTCCGGACGATCCCTAAAACGACCAACAAAATAAAATAAAGCAAATTTCGTTTTGTTCAGAAATGTACGCGGATGCAGAGCGGGGTTGGAAACCACTGTCAGCCAGGTTAAGGGCCAGGTAGGGGCAAGGTGTCGCAATGCTCGCGCAGTAGATTCAGTTACACTTTCGCGCAATGTAGGAGGAGGCCCGGCCGGGCCTCGGATACATGATGGGCTGCGGATGGCGCTTCGTTAGCGGCTGATCTCCGAGCTTCGACTTTTGCGAACGCCGGCGCTCCTTGTGCACGGTGTATGGAGGAGGTGCATTGCTCCGCCGTCCCCGCCCCGCCCCGCCCCACCCCGCCATTGAGCCGGCGAGGCAGGCGGCCATACGCCAGGGGCGTGGCGGGGCGTGGTGGCCGGAGCTTTGCAAAGCCGAAGCCCCGTGCTGCTGTTGGACTCCAGCGAGCGCACCTGGACGCGGGGCGCGGCGGGGCGCGGCGGGGCGCGGCGGGGCGCGGCGGCAGCAGCGTGGGGCGGTGGGCTGGGGGCGTGCGGGGCGCGGCGGGGACCCGCGGGGAGCGGCGCGGCGGCCGGTGTGCTGGGAGCGAGGCCCGGCCCGGCGCGGCCCGGCGCAGCCCAGCTCCAGTTGTCCGTTGTCTGAGCGGCGCGTAGGAGCGTGCAGCCGCGCGGCCTGGGCCAGCTCTCGTACCGGAGGGGAGCAGCCTGTGTGCGCAGAGTGAGTGAGTGAGTGAGTGGACGAGTGTCGCGAGGATTCGAAGCCCGAGCCAGCAAGCGACCAGCCTCAGAAGACTCGTCCCCCACTGCTTCTTCTTTCCACTCGCATCGCATCCCCATACAGCCGGGGGCGTGCCATGAGAAGCTGTGCGCCCCATCGCCCGCACCGCCCGCAGACCGCCCGGAGACCGGTGTCGGTGTGACCGCGAGCAGTGACCACCGGTAAGCCCCCGGCTCCGCCCGGCTCCCCTGGTGACCCTGCCCTGCAGCCGCGGCTCCGCCACCGAAACCCAAACCGGTATGAGTTGCCGCTCGCCTCGGCTCGCTCGTTGCGGACGGACTCCCCCAGGACTGCAGCCTCCCGGCCCGGCTGCAGCTCGCCCCCACTGCAATCCCCGCTGTCACCAACCTCTAGGCTGCTATCCCCGTCGTTGCTGCTCGTTCGGGGGTTGCAGCAAAAAAAATTGCAACCTTGGTTCCAGCTTAGCCACTGACAACTTAACTCGCTGTCACCAACGCCTACCCATGGTTTCCAACCTCGCTCGCAGCTCGCCCACCGCCGCGTAACCCGCTGCCATCAACCTCTTGGCTAGGTTGCAGCCGATCGCAAGGGGTTGATTGCAGCAGGATTACGACCTCAGTTGTTTGCAGCTCGCCGACCGTAACCCGATGTCACCCCCGCTCTGGGTTGCAGCCCCGGTTGCTTTGCTTGCTCGCGTGGGGTTGCGGCAGCAGGTTGCCGCCGTGCCGGCTCATGGCGCATTTCGTTCCCGACGGGTGGCTGCTGGCTGGTGCATGCCGGGCCGGGCTACGGGATGGGCGTGCCACGGGAGGGCTAATGCCTTTGACGGAACTAACAGCGGGCGAGGTGGAGGGGAGCCTGTGCGCGACCAACGCTGCAGCTAGCAGGTCCCTCCCCCCCGAATTGCATCACTTCGGAAAGAAGGAGAGATGGGAAGACTGTTTTGGGAGAGCCCGCCCGATCCCGGTGAGAGGCATAGCATCGGCAAAGCATAAGAGACGACGGCGATTCGAGACTTTCGTGTTAACCGTTCGGCAGCGATGCATGAACAATATACCAGGTGGCTGATTCACGCCGCGCACTTCTGTAGGTATACTGTACCGCACGCACGAGTGCGGGCGGGCTTGCCTATCATCGCCCCTGTCCACGGCGCCTTACGAGCAGAGCGAGTAGGCAACCCGCCCGCACTCGTGCATGCGGTACAGTCTACCTACAGAAGTGCGCGGCGTGAATCAGCCACCTGGTATGTAGGAACGTTTAAGTCAATCGAAGTCGAGTAGATGGAAGGGAGAGCACCGGCTAACCGGCGCCTCCGCGACCGTCTGGATACAGCGCGCTGCTACTGCATCTGCTCTGCGCCGAGATGGCAGGCGTCCCGGCATCGAGCGTAAATAGGTTAGGCAAGGGAAACCGTCGTTTATGCAGGGCTTTACACGTAACCCGAGACACACTGCACCCCGCCCCGCCCCGCCCCGCCACGCCCCAGCAAACGCCTGCGCGGCCCACAGCGGCCCAGCCAGCTCCGCACTCCTCGCCTCTTCGACGTCGCTTCCTCTTGCATCGCCGGCCGGCTGCCCTGCCCCGCACTTTCACGGTTTTCAAACCTGATTTATCAGAAGAGGAGGCCTCCTCTGGCCGGCCGGCCGGCCGGCGCGACGGCGTTGCACCGCGCGCGGCTAAAGACTCGGAGCAGCCAGCCCTGCCTTGCAAGAGGAAAAGAAACAAAAGAATAAAAGTGGCGCGGAGGAAGGAGTAAAGTGACTGTCACGTCACGGCGAGCGGCTGCGGGGTCCGGCGCGGGGCGCCCGAGGGGTGGGCACGCCCGCCGCGCAGCGGTGTCGGGCTGGGCGGCCTAGGCTCGCCCCGGCAGGCGCCCCGGCAGGCGGGCGGGGGCTGGAGGGCGTGAGGCGGGCCTGGGGAGGCGAGAACCGGACCGGCTGCGGGGGTATACGAGAGTTTTAAAGGCGAAACGACGGCGTGTTGTGGCGACGCGCGCCGTCGTGCTCGGCAATAATTGCCCCTTCTGAGTATCGCCTGGGCGGTGCCAGTGTGTTGCCCCCTCACCTCACGCGGGGGTTAAGAGTTCCCGCGAACACGCCCGGCCCGGCCCGGCCCTGCCCCGCCCCGGACCCCAACCGCTTCACTCATTCCAGTTGACAAGTCGCCGGTATAATGCTGGGTTCCATTACTCATTGCTGGTCCGGTCCCGCCGCGCCGGCCAGCGCCTCCGCCGGGTCCGGCCGGCTCTTCCCTCCCTGCCCGGGCGTCGCCCCGTCCCGCCCCAAAATCACCGCCCTCTCTCTTTCTCTCTCTGTCTCGCTTCTAAACCTCTGCACTCTTATTATTTCCTCCTTTTTCTGCGAAGCGCTCGTTGCTGTTGGCGTTATGTCTGCTCGGGCGCCCGGTGGTGGTGGGCGAGCAAGAGCCAAGCACAACAACACAGCAGCAGCCTCTTTCCCGCCGCCGAGGTCCTGCTCGGCACAAAGAAGAGCACGATGACGTCGTTTTCGCACGAAGCATTTCTCTCGCAGAGGCGAATGCGCCCCGCGCCGCTCTGCAATGCTTTGCTATGGATGAAGAGGGAGATGGGCTCAACAGGCAGGCTACGGAGAGCGGAGCGCGTGGTCGCCGCCGTCTTGAGCCACCCACCGCACCGCCGCCGCCGTCAGTCTTGGGGCCCCGCGCCTCCTGACACTGTGACACTGG